CACCGGCAGCAAAAGGCTGACCGAGTGGACAAACACGCACCAACAGGCCTTCGACGGCATTAAAAACGCCCTCGCCAACGCCCCGGTGCTACACCTTCCTGATTTTGCCAAACCGTTCGAAGTCGTGACCGACGCAAGCATCTATGGCACAGGCGGCGTGCTGCTACAGGACGGACATCCCGTCGCATATACCAGCAAAAAGTTTACGCCAGCCGAAATCAACTACACTACCACAGAGCAAGAGCTCCTGGGTACGATTAACGCCCTACAAGAGTGGCGACCGTACCTGGAAACCGCTCAAGACACCTTCACGCTGGTCACCGACCACCATCCGAACATTTGGTTTGAAACCAAAAAGGACCTGTCCCGACGCCAAGCGCGGTGGCAAGAGTTTCTGTGCCGCTTCCACTACACGTGGCAGTACCGGCCGGGGCGCAAGAACGTTGCCGACCCCCTGTCCCGCATCCATACACCACCCACCGCGGTCGCAGCCTTGAGGTACATAGGCATGCCTACTGACGGGTCCCCAACGGAACCTACCCTGGCGGACCGCCTAAGGGCGGTAATGCCGGACAAACCGGACGTCGACTGGGGCACTGCCTCGTTCACCGACGGCATGTGGTTTAAGGGCAACAAAATTATCGTGCCCAATGACCCGCAACTGCGAAAAGACATCCTACACGCCTACCACGATGCGCCGCTTGCCGGACATCGCGGTGTGGCTAAGACACTGCACACAGTTGCCGAACACTTCTGGTGGCCTGGCATGTACAGTGCCGTCGAGCGCTACGTGCACGAATGTCCGCAGTGCCAACGCAACAAACCCGATAACCAAAAACCAGCAGGCAAACTACAATCCACTGCCCACCCCAATGGGCCCATGGCAGGTGGTCTCCTGCGACTTTATCACCAGCCTACCGCAGACCCCTTCCGGCAACACAGCCATTTGCGTTTTCGTAGACAAGTTCTCGAAGATGGTCTCGCTGGTGCCCACAACGGACCAACTCACCACCATCGGCTTCACAAAGATGCTGGTAAACCACATCATCTGCAAACATGGTCGAATCACCGCGCTCCTCACGGATCGTGACCCACGGTTCACGGCACAAGCCATGCGCAACGCAGCCAAGCAACTGGGCGTAAAACAGCTCATGTCCTCGTCATTCCACCCGCAAACGGATGGTCAAACCGAGCGTGCGAACCGCGTGCTACAGGAGGTCCTGCGTAATTACGTGGGTCCTGACCTCACGGACTGGGAAGACTGGCTGCCAAAGGCAGAATTCGCCATTAACAACAGCAAGAACGAGTCCACCGGACAAACACCGTTCTACATCGTCTACGGACGCACCATGTCCCTACCACACGACCACGACTTGCCACTGCAGCAGTCCAAATATCCGGCGGCAGATGAAATCGCCGACAGCCTCACCCAATGGGTTACAATGGCCACTAAGTGCCTCGACGCCGCAAAACAGCGCCAAGCCAAATACGCGGACAAAACGCGCCGCGAAACCCAGTTTGAGGTTGGACAGCAAGTCCTGCTGAGCACCAAGAACTTCACGTTCCGGGCACCCAACACGAAAGGCCTTGGCAAGTTCATGCCACGCTACATCGGCCCCTTCCCCATCATTGCCAAGGTGGGCGAAGCCGCGGTTCGACTACAGCTCCCGGCGCACTTGCGCATGCACGACGTATTCCACGTCTCTAAACTCAAAGCCTACAAGGCTGGCAGCAACGCGCCACCCCCACCTGCGATTCCCGCAGCTGAGGGCGAACCCTTGTGGTACGTGGACGAGATCCACGCCCACCGGCAGTCTCGCAGCAGGCGCCGCATCACCATGGAGTACCTCGTCAGGTGGCACAAACTGGGCCCCGAGTACGACTCCTGGGAGTCCGCAAAGGACTGCAACCAAGGATGCCCAGAGGCAATCCGCGCTTACCACGGAAAACTGTACGCAAAAGGCGTACCGCTACCCTAATTATCCACCTCACTCAAGGCGCCCCGAGGACGGGTTCGCATTCAAGAGGGGGGGAATGTAACGCCGCTAAGGCGGCCCTTGGCTCACCGGGCCAACGGTATCGTACCAACGGTACATCCAAGAACTATTCATAATCTTCCAATACCAAACGGTATTTATCAATACCACCTTTT